TTTAATGTCTTCTATATCTATGTTTGGGTCTATCCCCCTTAGTACAATTTTCTTATTTGTTTCCTTCTTATCTCCGTGTGTGAAAAAATTGTATTTATTATCTCGTAGGTATTTAAGCAGATATTCATTATCTGTGGTTGTGTAGGTATTTACTCTCAGGTGATTTTTACTTATATATTGAATTGACAAATCCTTTTTTATATTAGATTTAATTGTTTTTAACACATGGTGAGGTATTTCGCTCTTGATAATCACAGTTGGCATTTTCCTGTCTAATTCTTAGGATCATTTTTAGATGTACTTGCCTTTGGGGAAAGCGCAGTTTTCTTCCTTATTTTTTCTTCGGATTTTCCCGAGCTCGTTTCTTATTTATCTCATTTGCGGTTTCCATCAACTCATCGGGTTCTGTATCCGTGTCTGTGCTTGATAGTGGTTCAAATCTGTTTGAAAGTTTCACTCCGGTTATATCGTCGATGCTGTCGTTAGAGTTTAGTATTTGCCGAAGTTCTTCAACAGAGTACTTCCTCTTATGGAATTGGTACTTTTTAGTGCGCCCCATTTTGTGGTAACGTACTAAAATCCAGTGCTTGAGAATTTCAGATCATCATCGCAAAATCACACTTATTCACTTCACTTTATCACTTTTTATTTCACTTCACTTCACTTATCTCACTTCACTTATTCACTTATCATCATCCATCAATCAATCGATACGAAAATCAAATGACCCAATCAATGAAAACCAAAAATCAAAATGAGTCGTGCCGACGCTCCGTTTTCGTACTGCTTCAACGTTTTGACTGAAGCCGTAACAACGTACGTAGGCAAGGGAGGGGCGTGTCTACAAAAAAATGGGCGTGTGCTTGCAACGCTCAGAAATCTATACGGGCCCGTTCGAGAACTTTGATATCATTCTCAGTTTGAACACGAACCTGTAAACATGTCTGGTCGAGGCAAAGGCGGTAAAGTCAAGGGAAAGGCTAAGTCACGGTCTAACCGTGCCGGTCTTCAGTTTCCAGTCGGTCGTATTCATCGTTTGCTACGCAAAGGCAACTATGCCGAGCGTGTCGGCGCTGGTGCACCCGTCTACCTCGCTGCAGTCATGGAATATCTGGCCGCCGAAGTTCTCGAGTTAGCCGGCAATGCGGCTCGCGACAACAAGAAGACCAGAATAATTCCGCGTCATTTGCAACTGGCCATCCGCAATGACGAGGAACTCAACAAACTGTTATCGGGTGTTACGATTGCTCAGGGCGGTGTATTGCCGAACATACAAGCTGTGCTTTTGCCAAAGAAGACAGAAAAGAAAGCTTAAATTTCTTTTATTGTCGCAAATTGACATAAAACCGTCCTTCTCAGGACGAACAACTTTATTCAAAAAATGAACATATATTATTTTACTATTTATTTATTATTTACTATTTTATTTATAATACTATTTAATTTACTATTCAATACTCATTTTAATTTATTTTAATTTTTTTATCATAACATTCGGTATATAATTCAATTGATTTTAGATATTTTTATTTAAATAAATATAAATAACAACATTTGTTTGAATGAATCAAAGAATATTTAAGGTTATAAATGTACGAAATAATAACTTTATTTATTAGTTACGTTGTTATAAATCATTTAAAATGAATATAAAAAAAATCTATATAAGTATATTAATTTTTGTAGTGATTTCAACATCAAATAAATAATTCTTGTTTTATTATCGAATATTAGCACATTTATATGTTATTATGTTATCAATTATTATTGAATTTCACTAATATCGATTATAGAATTTGTATATTTAAAAAAAAAAATTGTAGGGTTTGTTAATGATTTGATTTTTATAACATTCGCAATTCAGGCTAAAATCTCGCATGTTTTCTGACCCTCGAGCAAACGGTTATTCACGGTCGTCGTGTTTAGGAACTGCCGCTGTATAGTGGCCTAAATGTTTCAGCAAGCATTTACGCTAGATATCAATGTCAATACCATAATACCTTATAGCAATTTGTTAGTCTCGACGAGAAGAATAAAATAATAATTATTCATAAAGAAAATAATAATGTTATAGTGAATTTTGACGCGTGTTTTTAAAAAGGGGCGTGGCTTAGTGATCGTGGAAAGTTTTACTAATAATTATCGTACAAAATTTATTAATAATCATAAATAAATGTACAAAATAATAACTTTATTTATTAGTTACGTTGTTATAAAACATTTAAAATAAATATAAAAAAAAATCTATATAAGTATATTAATTTTTGTAGTGATTTTAAAACCAAATAAATAATTCTTGTTTTATTATCAAATATTAACACATTTATATGTTATTATGTTATCAATTATTATTGAATTTCACTAATATCGATTATAGAATTTGTATATTTAAAAAAAAAAATTGTAGGGTTTGTTAATGATTTGATTTTTATAACATTCGCAATTCAGGCTAAAATCTCGCATGTTTTCTGACCCTCGAACGAGCGGTTATTCACGGTCGTCGTGTTTAGGAACTTACCTGTATAGTGGCCTAAATGTTTCAACAAACATTTACGCTAGATATCAATGTCAATATCATAATACCTTATAGCATTTTGTTAGTCTCGACAAGGAGAATAAAATAATGATTATGCATAAACAAATAATATATTATAGTTAATTTTGACGCGTGTTTTTTAAAAAAGGGCGTGGCTTAGTGATCGTGGAAAGATTTACTAATAATTATCGTACAAAATTTATTAATAATCATAAATAAATGAATTGTTATAAAATTATATAGTATTATTATAAAGTTATAATGAATTATTATGAAATTTTACTATTGTCGAATATAAATTTTGTATATTTAGGTATTATTTTACATATTTTTCCTTAAAATTTAAGAAAAATTAGATAATCTCGAAAAAATTATATGAACACACATAACGATTTATATATCATTTTATTCGTGATTTTATTCTGCATCTTTCGTACGAACAAAGTTTTTGAGCGTTGCAAGCACACGCCCATTTTTTTGTAGACACGCCCCTCCCTTGCCTACGTACGTTGTTACGGCTTCAGTCAAAACGTTGAAGCAGTACGAAAACGGAGCGTCGGCACGACTCATTTCGTATCAGTCAGTGTACTAGTAAACATCAGACATGCCACCGAAAAGCAGCGGTAAAGCGGCTAAGAAAGCAGGCAAAGCCCAGAAAAATATTTCAAAGGGCGACAAGAAGAAGAAACGTAAGCGCAAGGAGAGCTATGCCATTTATATTTACAAAGTCTTGAAACAAGTCCATCCTGACACGGGCATTTCGAGCAAGGCGATGAGCATCATGAACAGCTTTGTGAATGATATCTTCGAGCGTATAGCGGCCGAGCATCGCGTTTGGCTCACTACAACAAACGCTCTACAATCACTAGTCGGGAAATTCAGACAGCAGTCCGGCTATTGCTACCAGGCGAGTTGCGAGTTGGCCAAACACGCCGTCAGCGAAGGTACTAAGGCCGTAACCAAGTACACCAGCTCGAAATAAAATGATGAAGATTTGTGATGCCACTTATATGTTCTGTCGACAATAACAAAGGCCCTTCTCAGGGCCCACAAATATTTTACAAAAGAACTTTATAATTTTTACATTGGTTTTATAGATAAAATAAAATAACCTGACACTAATGATATTTTATTAGGATTTTCAATAAATTTTGATCAGATATCTATTAGAGATCGTTATTATTAATTTATATTATAAATAATGTTCAATTTCTATATTTTTCAATATGATAAAAATTAATGATTGAATATTCAATTCAATTTAAAACTTTAGTTTTTCAATTAGTTAATAAGTTTAAGTTTATTTTATTTATTATAAAATATATTTATATTAAAAAAAATCGCAATTTAAATATTTTCGTAAAAATAAAATTATTGTCGTAAATATTTTAAAAATTTTATTATTTAAATATATAAAATATTTATTACATATTATATAAATTTAAATAATATGCAAAATTTAATAAATTCATTCATTTAATTGAGCTCCTTCAATTCAAGCCGTTTTCGAAGCCCTTAACTGTAAAGTATACTAATACTAAAAGGGCTTCTATTTTCTATTAATTGTAGCCCCCCCATGTAAGAAAAGAATCAATTGCATATAAAAAGTCAATACGAAAAAATAGTAAAAATATTATTAATTAATACTTTCTTTAAAACATATTCGAAGGGCTTTCCAATTTGATAATATTATCAATAATATTACCAAGCAAGTTATTCTGCAAGAAAATAAACAAATTTCATATAAAATCAAATAAAGCCTGTACGTAAATTGTAAAATATATTACTTGATCTTTTAATTATATTTGACAAGCCCTTAAAAGGGCTCTTTTTTGTTTTGTATTTATAAGAAATGACTGCGTCCGTTGATCAATTTAACCGCCGAAACCGTACAGTGTACGACCCTGACGTTTGAGCGCATATACGACATCCATAGCGGTTACGGTCTTCCTCTTGGCGTGCTCGGTGTATGTGACTGCATCGCGGATAACGTTCTCGAGAAACACTTTCAGAACACCGCGGGTCTCTTCGTAGATTAGACCCGAGATACGCTTGACGCCGCCACGGCGAGCAAGACGACGTATAGCCGGCTTTGTAATACCTTGGATATTATCGCGAAGAACTTTCCTGTGTCGCTTAGCGCCACCCTTTCCGAGTCCCCTTACCACCTTTGCCACGGCCGGTCATTTTTCAATATATCGCAGTCGGGATAAATTTACAAATTGATGTTAACAGCTCGAAGTCTGAATAACGACTGAATTCCAACGAGCGAAATTATTGAAAAGTTTGAGCTCGCTAGGCCACGCCCATCATAGCTATGCGAGCATTCGGCGCCGACCAATGACAGCCGAGCACAGCATCGGACATTCGTAATGTATTTTGATCATAATATTCGAGCCGGACGCGTCAGTATCAAAACGATCGTCAAACGAGAAGGTTCTCGAAACGAAATCTAGGAGTTATAATGGCCCGTACGAAGCAGACAGCTCGCAAGTCCACCGGTGGCAAGGCGCCCCGGCAGCAGCTTGCAACGAAAGCGGCTCGCAAGAGCGCGCCGGCGACCGGCGGTATGAAGAAGCCGCATCGTTATCGGCCTGGCACCGTAGCTCTGCGTGAGATCCGTCGTACCAGAAGAGCACCGAGCTTCTCATACGAAAGTTGCCGTTCCAACGTCTAGTGCGCGAGATCGCTCAGGACTTCAAGACCGATCTGCGTTTTCAGAGCTCCGCCGTCATGGCATTGCAGGAAGCTAGCGAGGCCTATTTGGTTGGCCTGTTTCGAAGATACAACTTGTGCGCGATCCACGCCAAGCGCGTAACCATCATGCCCAAGGATATTCAACTAGCTCGGCGTATTCGAGGAGAACGCGCTTAGACGCCTGTCGTCCTATAAAACAAATCGGTCCTTTTCAGGACCACCAAATGATCAATTAAAAGAACTTTTATTATTTTTTCAAATTATTTTATTTTGCAGAATTATTCCATCGATACGTTAGAAATTTTTATTGATTTTTTTTTTAATTGAAATTATTGACAACACACATGATTTGACTTGTTGAATATGTGTTGTTGTGTTAAGTTTAAAAATATTATAGTTGAATTTGTAAAATTCGTCATGAATTTCTGAAAGCTTCTTTAAAAATTCTAAATTTAATTAATATGGGCGAGTTGCCGTTCTGATGATAGAATTTTATATTATATATATTATATTATATATATTTATATATATAAATATTTTTTTTTTGATTGTATATTTTTTAATTTCATATATAGTTATTTAAAGTTATATAAAATTTTTCTTTTTCGAATACGATATGAAAAAAAGATTGAAACTTCATAATTATTAATGATTATATTTTATTTCATTAATTAATTTCCATTTACTTATTATTTATATAAAAAAAAATTAGAAAAAATTATGAATTTAATTATTATGAAGTTGCCGTTCTATGTATAGTTTGATTTATTTAAAGTGATATATAAAACTTTATTATAAATTATTGATTATATTTCATTGATTAAGATAATTTATTCATATAAATTATTTAAAAAAAAATAATAAATAAATAAATAAATTCAGCGATTGATATTGAACAACTCCCTACCAAAGACGAAATTGAAAATTGAAAAGACTTTGACTTTTAAATTTCGTCAATGACACAACACGGCGGCGGCGAGGAACACAGCGAGCGTTGCTGCGCTCCTGTTACAAATATTTTATTAAAATTTTTTCCGAAGTCCACGAAAAGGCTATAATATAAGATGATAAGATATATATAAGTAAAATAATAATGTTCTTTGATAAAAATTTATTGTTAGTCCTGAAAGGACTTTGTGCAAACATTTCGTTTGCTGTTGTGTAAAAAGATAATGAAATGTTTTCACTTCTTTTTCGGTGACGCTTTTTTCAAGGTTTGGCTACTTTTTGATGTCTTCTTTGGCGATTTAGGTTTCTTTGCGGCTGCGGTCTTGACGGTTTTCTTCGTTTTTTCTCGTTGCCGTTGCCTTGGCCGATGAGGCTTTCGTCGACTTACCCTGAATGGTCTTCTTCTTATCGACTGTCGTCTTAGGTTTCGCCGACGACTTTTTTAATGTGCCCGCTGCGGATGCAGACTTCTTTTTAGGGACGAAGCAGGTTTGGCGGCGCCCTTCGACTTTGCTGTCTTCGATTTTGCTTTTGCCGCTGGCGTCTTAGCGGTCCTGGCTTTTCCAGCCGAAACACCGCTTTCGCCGCCGCTCTGTTTAGCGTTCGCGGCAAGTTTGAACGAACCCGAAGCACCTTTGCCTTTTGTTTGAATCAGTGTGCCCGCTTGAACAGCTGACTTTAAATACTTTTTAATGAACGTTGACATTTTCTCGGCGTCGATTTTATAATTGGCCGACATATATTTCTTAATCGCCTGCAGCGACGATCCGCCGCGTTCTTTCAGACTTTTAATAGCGTTGTTTACCATTTCAGATGTAGGAGGATGGGACGGCTTCACTCGCGTTTTTTAACAGCCGCAGTCTTGCCCTTTTTCGGCGATGCTGTCGCTGGCGCAGCGGTTGCCGCCGGCGACGTAGATAAAGCGTTATCTGACATTATAGTAAAAATCGTAGGTTAAAATGTAAATCTAACACGTGATTGGTTTAATATGTTAGGGGCGTGGCCAAAAACTATATTCGAAAAGTGTAGGACCGAGGAGAAAACAATAATATTTGAAAATTTTACAAAATGTAAATTATTTGTAAAAATTAAATCCAGCGCTTTTATTCTATAATTCGCATAAAACAATGGATTTCCATGATAGCCAATTCCTCCCCACCATATCATCAAAAGCATGATTTATTTCAACGGTTAGTTTTTTCTAAAATAATCGCTAATTATATTCAAATAATTCTGCACTCAATAGTGCGTTTCAACAAAATCGTTATCGCATTTTATGAGCATTGAGATATGTTATATTTTGATGCGATGTAATTATACTTATAATATCCTAGACAGTTTTTGTAATTTTTATTCATAATAGTATCATAATGTTCATAAACTGTCATTGAACATTCATTTGAGTACTCTATGAATCTATACTGAACAATAGCTAATCGAAACGATTTGATTAATAACGAATATAATATTTTATTAAAATAAAATATTATTTGTATGAAATAATTAATTATATTTACGATGTAATACACTATCAATACACCAACGCATAAATTCGGTTAGAAATCATTTGTGTAAAAACATTATGTCGCGTCGTGCATCAAGTTCAAGAAGTTGTGCTATCTATCTCTTTTTGCATAGTATCTAATAAAATAATATTATCGTTATAATTAATTATTTCATTCGTAGTTTTCAAAAGAACGATAAAATACAAAACAGTAAACAATTGTACTGTTGTTTCTGAAATAACTTGAGTCAAAAATTCACAAACGTTTATTTCTGTAAATCATAATATTTCTATCATATTATATTTTATTAAAATAAATCGAATGTATAATAATTAGTCATTAATAATAATATAATATTTATTTTTTTTTTTTTTTTTAATTCAC